CTCTCTCCCTCTCTCCCTCTCTCCCTCTCTCCCTCCTGCTGGCTTGACAGGTGGGCTGCATTGGATTGTGGAGCTCCAGTGTTCTCTCCTAACTGTCTGATAGATATTCGGAGCTTTGAGTTCTGTGTGCAGCATATCAGCACATAACGAAGCAACACTGAGACACAGACAAGTAGTGTATATTCCTTAGTGCCGATGAGGACCTGAGGCTTTGATGGTTAATCACTGTCACTGATGAGCAGCGCTGCCTGGCTGCTTTGTAGACCCTCAAGGGCTCACTTGCCTGCATGTGAGCAAACGTGGAGCCGGTGGGGGAAGGTGCGAGTTGGATGTCCTACACTTACTGAGATAGTCTGGTTCTTGAGGCCCTGCCCAGCAGGGGCAAAGCCTTGCAAGCACCCTCTGAACACTGAGTGCCCCTTGTAAACAGCTGCCAGGATGTTCTTAAAAAGAACAAGCAAGATTTCTTTTTAAAATGTAATTCACAAATGACCTCATTTAATTAAGCCGCACACATGTCAGGGGACAAAGAAAATGGGTGCTGAGAAGGTCCAGAATACTAATTGACATTTCTGGCTGTCTGGGGGCAGGGCCCGCACCTAGAACTGAAACTGTGGTTAACTGAAACACCACACCTATTGGCCACTTCTCATTTGATTTCTGTGGGGAGCTTGGCTATTCTTCCTTTTAGTATGTGCTGCACACTTTCCTTTGTTCACACCCAGCACTGTGAGTGTGCCAGTGGAACCAGCCCCAGGGCTGGGAGAGAAGGGATAGAGCTGCTCTTCGACACTGGAACTGTGTTGTCTGAGCAGGTCTTGTGTTTGCATCGGTCTCTGTGGGCTTCCCTTCCCGGGACTGCCTTCTAGGAGTTTCCGGGAAAATGAAATTTTGAATGAGTAGCATCATGATTCTTCCTGGAGAAGCTGTTAAGGCAGCAAGGAGGAGAAGATAGAGTCCCAGGTAAATGCAGCCCTCCTCATGGCGCACACATTTATGGGTTAACTTTGAGTTTTTGTTTTTTTTAACATCTAGGAAAGGCTTAAACTTTAAAGCCTGATTTGCTTTGTGCTGCTTCCTTGGGGCTCATCCCTTTAGCATTGAAGCTTGGTGGTTTTGACTTCATTGTCACTGGCTCCTACATCAGAAAGGCTGAACCTGCATCTTTATACATCTCCATTGCCATGGCACACTATGCAGTAACCTGCGAAGCACCTCGCAGAAGTCCTGACCGACCCCTCCTCCTTCCACCTGGCAGGAGTGGCTGAGGAAGTTGCTGAACTCACTATCAGAGAGCACAATTAAAAATGGGGAAGGAGAAGCACAGACTGAGCTTGGCTAATCAGGGACAGAGAGGAGCTGCCATACTCGTCAGAAGGTTTAGACAAGGGAAGAAAGGAAAGACAGAACTGGGGCAGGATTGGGTCAGCCGTTTAGGAAGTGGCCTGGCAGGTTCCTGCGTATTGCCTGGTGGTGGTTTTCATCACAGGTAAAATAGAATAGTCCCTATTTCATGTGTTGTGAAGTGGATCTGGGGAGATTACAATGTCATTGTTGACTGTAAAATGAAATGTACTTTTGGGATTGGTCACTTATCTTCATTTCTGTTCTCTTGGCCAGGCCCTGTCTGGCTAATGAATTCCTCTAGCTTTCTCACCTATCCACCACCCCAACTTGGGCTTGGGGCTTGCTCCCTGATGAGCCTCTGAGGTCCCCCGAAGGGCTCCCTGAACCCATTCTCTGAGTCTTCCTTACACTTGTCTGTGCTCAGTACTGTGGTCCATCTGACCTTTCTGCGCTGCCTGCACTCAGATCTGATCTAAGTAGTACATCTGGGCCTGGGATTTAGCTCAGTGATTCTGTGGCCTGCCTTGCAAGCACAAGGTCCCAAGTTTGATCCCTGGTACCACAATAAATAAAATAAGTAGTACATCTTACAGAAGCCACCCTTGCCCTGCCCTCTCCCTGCAGATTATTTTCTTCTCTATTTTTTGAAGAAGTTAAGAAACTAGCCCAGAGAAGTAGAAAGAACTCTGACTTTAGGGCAAGACAGAATTAGGTTGAAATCCTGACCCTGCCATTTGCCAGCCTTTCCTAACTTTTCTGGGCTTATAAAATGGATCTTTACCCACTATATGGGACCCTCAGGGTTTAAAATTAGCTCATTCCTGGGCGTGGTGGGACACACCTGTAACCCCAGCACCAGAGAGTTTGAGGCAGGAGATTGGCCACAAATTTGAAGCCAGCCTGGGCTACATAGTTCAAGGTCTGAACTACACAGCAAGACCCTGTCTGTAAAATAAGCTTGTATATTTTAAAATCTGGATCAGCACCTGCCATACAAGTACAAGCTCAATAAATATGAATCTCTTTCTTGCTGTTAAATGAAAATTCTCTTAACTTAGGGGACCAAACAGGAATTTATGTATACTACCACTGTTTCACCTGTCGTGTACCCCTGTTAGTGGTAGACCTTCCTCCTTTGCTCTTTTTTTGGTACCAGGGATCAAACTCAGGACCTTGAGCTTACGAAGCAGGCGGCAGAGCTAGACCCCCGGCCCTACCTTCCTCCTTTGTACACAAAGGTGATAGCCCCCTTCTGTCAGGGTGTTTTTCGAGAATTTGGAAATGTACCCTGCCTCCTGGAAGAGCCGGTGTAGATTGCTGCAGCAGCAAAGCAGCCAGGATTTTAGACAGATCATATGTGACTGTAGAACAGAAACTAGCTCACCTCTGAGAGAATCCAGCCGATGATTGAATCAAATGACAGGCTTTATTATTGGAGGTAGCTCTCCACATTGCTGAGTGGACCAACTGCTTCACAGCATGCTTCCTCCCATTTGATTTTCAGAAGAGTTCTGGGAAGTGGGCAGATTCTCACTCTCCAGAAGAAAGCGAGGCCAGAAGGTAGTCACACCCGATGTCACACCAGTAGTATTCGATATAACTCAGTACTAGGGCACTAGACTCTCTTTGTGAAGTTTTGAACCCAGAGGAGAGCCAGAATGTTGGCTGTTTATGAAAGTTTAGTGTTGTACCACCTAAGCCCCTTGCTGTCCTTTGACTGGTCACTTTGTATCAGTTTCTCACAGGAGACTCACTAATTCCTTGAGTGCAGAATTATTGGTATTCTAGGCACTGAGGATTCTTTCAGAAATGAAAGAAATAGAACCCCTACCATGCGTCAGTGAGGGGTTGTTGTAAGGCTAGGAGCCTTACAAACAAATAAAAAAAGTGTGTAGAACGCACACAGACTGTCAAGATAGAGGTGAGAGCTATGGAGCAAAGGCAGAAAAAAGCTGGGGCGGGACGACAGACACTAGGTTTCTTCTTGACTCTTGGTACTTGTCTGGTCCATGTGGTAAGCTCTCATGAGCCAGGGTGCTGTGTTTATTCCTTGCTGGTCCATCATGCCCAGCACAGGTGCCAGCCGGGCTCTGGAGGCTGATTTTGGAGTTGTGTAGAAGCAGGGGCAGGGAACAGCATTCACCTCTGGGGTAGCCTGGGTGGTACCCTGGAATGAGTGCACTGGTGGGGTGTGCTCTTTTCCCTGGGAGTATTTGCTGAATCTGGAGCTCCCCCTGCCGTTACAGTATGGGAAGGAATCTCAGCAGAACTGTGTGTCGGTCTATCTTACCATATCTATTTTTTGTTTTTTTGAGACAGTTTTGCTGTGTAGTTCAGCCTGGCCTTGAACTGTGTAGCCCAGGCTGACTTCACACTTGTGGGGATCCTTCTCCCTCAGCCTCCTGAGTGCTGGGATTATAGGTGTGCACCACAGTACCTGGCTCAGTAGAGCTTTTAAATGCTATCACCACCACCATCCCGAATGTTAATAAAAGAAAAAAAAAAACATTTAAATCCTAAATAACTACTTCGGGCACATTGGAAGCTTTTTTCTGTGCTGCTGTTGCTGAAGCCTAACCCCCTCCAACCTCCCCTGTGGGCAGGAGCGGAGGAAGCACAGAGGCCAGGCAGGATAGGGCCCTATCTTCACTCTTGCTACTTTTAGCAGCTCCTTACCCTGTCCTCCTCCCACAGCCAGCAGTTTAGCCAGTTATCTCTGCACACAGTTTCTCAGCTGTTCAGAAATCCTAGGACAGCAGAAGTGAAAGTGACCACAGTTGTAAATTTCTCTTATTGCCGTTGTTCCCTGCTTGAAGTGAATCAGTCCTTTGCTCTCTCACCCTCAGTATCCGAAGTTCTTCATAAGTCAGGCAGCATCTCCACTCACTGCGTGCAGAGGGCTTGGCTGGCCTTGCCCTCCCTCTGATCATGGTGTGCTGGGGCAGGAGCTGTGGTTTGTGGTAGCATGCATCCCCAGAATAGAGCAGAACCCTTCTTATCAGCTGCCAGTGGTATGTCTTCCTTCACCAGGGGCACACATGATCATAAAGTTCTTTTAATCCTTACAGGTGAAATTGACATTAATTTTAGCCACACCGGTAATGTTGGCTGAAGTGAATCAGGAAGACCACCTCCGGTTTAACTGGCCCTGACACCATTTGGCCATTGATGGTTTCAGTGAGGCTGGAGAAGTAAGGCGGGCCCAGCACACAGACTCGTCCCTTCCTGTGTTGGCCCAAGAGGGGAGTGAGGCCCCTGGTGGTCTTGCTCTCTTGGCTCTTAGGGGCCATTGCTTTGTGAAGCCCAGGAGTAGCAGTGAGTGTTCCTGGTAGGAATTGTAAAGTTTGATGGGATAACTAAACCATAAGACAGGTGCTCTCTCGGGTGTCATTTACTCCAGCTGTTGTTAATAGCACGACTGAAATTAACTTGAATTTAAGATTCCTTCTCTGTTGAAAATTGTAGAACTACACATGGTGCTTCACTGAAAGTAATTCTTTCATGATTCTTCTCTCTACAGCTTTGAAAAGTCCAGCTGCATTTCATGAGCAGAGAAGGAGCTTGGAGCGGGCCAGGGTAAGGTCCCTTTCTTCCATAAGGGCCTCCGACATATTCCAGACTCATCTTGTCACTGCTTACACTGCCTTCCAGTCTGGCTGTGTTCTAGAGTCAGCTCTTGCCTTGAAGCTCTAACCAGACACCGATGCTTTTCCTGCCTCGTCCCTCCCCAGCCACCTCCCACAGAAGTTGAGACATCCCAGAATGAGGCTGTCCTTGAGTGCATTGGATTGCACAGATGATCACGTGGTCCTTCCTCCCCGAACCTGGCTTTGGAGACCACTGGTCTGTGCCCACCTCAGGTTCCACTGCACCTTTTAAGATGATGCTGCCAGTGTCAGCCACAGGAAAGCTTCCTGTGTCCAGTGCGAGCTGCCCACACCCGACACGACAGGTGTTCCAAGGAAGCCCCCTTGGCTCCCTTGGCTCCGTGGCAGCCAGTGGCTCTTGCAGCCTGTGGAAAGCAGAAGTGGAGCCACACTGTGAGCCCAGCTTTCTCGCTGTAACATCTTACTTGCCTCCCTGTCCCCTCGGTTTCACTTCCCTAGGGGCCCTGGGGAATATCCTGCTGCCTACTGTGGGCCAACGTGGGGACGTCACCAGGCGTGCTTCTCTCACTGCCCTTGCTTTTTCTTTCATGTAGAGTTGAGAAGAGAACCCCTCACTGGAGTTAGTACCACAGCCCATTGCTCCTACAGTTCCACACGTTTCTTAGAGACAGTAATTGTTTATCCCAAGACTCCTTTCTTCTTAAAAATTCACAATTAATTCTTCGAAGAATGAGGTCATGGGTACTGGGAACCAGAACAGTGGCAGAATGCACTCTTTTCTTTTTCTAGGAGCAGGGTGGGGCCAGCCCAGTCCAAAGGCTCCCAAAGTCCCTCAGTTGCTATTCCAGTCAGCAGGGGCAAATGGGACCTGACTAGGATGCATTCTCCCTGCCAGGTTATGTCTGTTTCTTGTTTATCTTCACATCAAGTCTCACAGATCAGGTGCTTTTGTTGTTAGTTTATAGATGCAGCCAAGAGAAGGCAGCTGACTTGCTTAGCTAGTAAGTGGCAGAGCTGAGACTCAGACCTGAATTGTGGAAACCAGGCTTTTTTAAAGCAAAATAGTTTTGTTTTGTTTTGTTTTTCCATTGAGTTCATTGGTGCTTTTTAAGTATACAGTACAGTTACATTTATCATTGGGATCTTGTACCTTTACATGACTGATCTTGATTCTCGTTTTTTCCCTTTACCCCTGCCCACCCTTCACCTTTCCCTATAAGCAAAACAGCTTTGTTCCCTGGCACATGGTAAACATATTCAGTATACGCCTAATTTGCACATCTGCTCGCAAGTGACTTCCACTTTAAAATGAATGTTTTCACATTTTGAGTATGTACTAAAAATGATCTTACTTGAAATATGAAAAGTAAGTATACTGGATTGGTTACAGCAGAACTTGCTATGATGAATTAGTTGAACAGTTTAAAGTTTTGAAAGCTACTACTTTTGCACGCAAGTAAGGTACGTGCTCAGCCTGTGTTCCAGAGAGTTCCATGCACACTCCAGAGGCCACTACCCAGTGGCCTCAGTATCAGTCACACTCCCACGAGCTCTCAGACACTCTTTATTTCTTATGGCTGATTTCTTTTCATCAGTTTGCTTAGCTGCTCATGCTTTCCAGGGCTTGAGAGTGCTTGTAGTATCAACTCTGAAGTCTTTGTGTTTACATTCTGTGCTGAGAGCAAACTGGTTCGCTGGTTTTCCATCAGAAACCTTGTACCTTGTAGCCTAGTCCCAAGTAACTTCTAGGTGGCTAGGCTTCAGCCATTTGTTAATATGTTTACTGTTTGTCATAAAGGGCATAACTCAGGATCAGCCAGGTGGAAGAGATGCATAGGTTGGTGGGAAAGGCATGGAGTTCCCATCCCCTCTTGGAGCAGGTGTGTGAGCTGCCCTGTGCCATCCTCCCGGGACCTGCATGAGCTCACCAGTATGGAAGCTTCTCCAGACATTTTCTGAATCAGTATTGTACTCCACCTCTACTAGGCCACTGTCCAGAGCCTCAGCTGGCTTCTCAGCGTATCTCCTCCCGATGTCTGAGAGGAGCTGCGGTGCCTTGACACGGCTCTTCCGTCCTTCCCAGCAGCCGCGGCAGTGCTGTGCTGCAGGTGGGGTGATGGCCCTCGGCCCAGGACCACGTCAGGCCCAGGCCCGGAGAGCTCAGCACCCCCTCCCAGGGCGGGTGTCAAGCTGTCCAGCCAGAGCACCAGGCAGCAGATGGCTGGGGCAGGGCCCAGTCTTGACCTTTGCTATCTCTAATGTGCCCTGATGTTGTATTTTCTACTGTACTTCTCCCCTCCTGTCTTATGCTGTTCTTGACTCTCATGGTTCAGGCCTGTGGTCTGAAAAATGCTGGTGCAGAGGTTAGGAGCACATGCTTTCAAGTCAGATCTGGGGTTGTCATATCGACAGTGTCATTGGCCACTGGCAGTGAGGCACTTCTCTGACTGTTGAAGGCATGGTTTAGTTCTCCGGTCTAATAAATGCAGAGACAAGGACACTGGTCTCTGAGGAACCAGAGCTGTGTCGCTGTGTATCAGAATTAGTGTTGCAGTTGGCAGTCATTCAAAATGAATTGAAAGCGCTCATGAGATCACGCAATGCTAAGGTTTTGGAAACAGGACATAAAGTTATATTTAGTATGATTATATCTGTACAGAATTAATACCGTCTTCATGAAAGAGTGACTAGAAACAAATATCCAAAAATACTAATAATAGCTATTTACATTTCTTATTATTGTTACATTTTCTGATTTTTTTCAGTGAACACGCAGTACTTTTATGATAAGTAGTAGTCTGGGGGTTTTGTTTGTTCCTTTGATGCTTTTGGTTTTTTGAGATAGGGTTTTGCTATGTGATCCAGGCATGCATTGAACTCTTAACCCTCCTGCCTCAGCCTGAAATTACGTGCATGCATTGTCATACCCTACTCAGTAGATAATAGTTTCAGATATGAGTGAGTAGTCCAGCCCCAGAGGGACAAATGGCCTCAATGGAAGGTGCCCTTGTCAAGTGCATTGGAAGCCACTGTGACTTTCCAGCCCCTGCCTCAGAACCCTGTGGTCACAAAGTGGAGGTCATGAGGGCCTCAAAGTGAACAGCAGCAGCCACTACAGCCAAGGCTTCAGTTGTGGTCCTCTCTGTACAATCCACTCGTGGTCTGCATTTCATTTTTCTTGGTGTGTTTTTCTGTAGACAGAGGACTACCTGAAACGGAAGATCCGTTCCCGGCCAGAGAGATCGGAGCTGGTCAGGATGCACATTTTGGAAGGTGTGTGAGGTTGGAAATGCTTCGCCGTCTCACCCTATTCACGGTGCTTGGACTGCACTTCCGCTTCTGCTTCCTGCCTTCTGTTCCCTCCCAACACTACCAGCAGCGGCAGGTGAAGGCCTCACCTGTTCTGAGCTGGCTAGACCTCTTCTCCTGGGTCCCCCCACCGTCCCTCTCTCCAGCTCCTGTATTTAATCTGCCCTTAGTTTTTTACATGCATTCGTTCCTTCACTCGCTGTCATTTGTGTGAGCACCTGAGATGGACAGCCAAGGTCATCCCACATGTGCCCTGCCCGGCCCAGTCAATATGCCTTCCCCACAGTTTTAGCAAATGAACAGCTCTTGGGAGCAGCATAAGCATGTCCAGTTTTAGGTTGTTTAGTTCAAGGCCAAACTCACATGTTGCATTTGAAGACACTGAGGTCTAGAGCAAAGAGGACAGTGTCCCTGGTACCCCAAGAGGGAGAGCAGAGACCTTTCCTTCGTCAGGTGTTCTTCAGCTCTGCAGCTTCCCTCGGGAAGTTCTCTGGGCCAGCCTGGCCCAGTTATAGTTGTCCTTGTGACACTTGAAGCCATGCCACCCTTCTTAGCCTGGGACATGCTTTCTGCTCTGATTATCTCTGCTCCTGCTGCTCTGGGACTCCCAGGCCAGGACCAGGGCTTCCTTCATTGTCCTGTACTCCTCTCTCATGGTCAGAGACCTCGGCTGAGCCTTCCCTCCAGGCCAAGCAACTGAAACTCAAGAGAGCCAGACTAGCTGATGACCTCAATGAGAAGATTGCCCAGAGGCCTGGCCCCATGGAGCTGGTAGAGAAAAACATCCTGCCTGTGGAGTCCAGCCTGAAGGAAGCCATCATTGGTGAGGGCTCTGGCCACCCTGTGTGGCCTACAGGAGGGACCAGGAGCACAGTGACTGAGGCAGAGCTGAGCAGGGGTAGAGAACCAGCCACTGTCCCCATGGAGACCCTGCCTGTGGAAGCGTAGATGTCAGGAGATGGCGGCCAAGTGTGGGGCCCATGGATGGGTAGGGATCGCAGCAGGTTGAGGACAGACTGGAGAAGATGACGCACCAGGCTCCTCAGAGACCTGAGTTGCAGGCCCATTTGTGGCCAGGTGGGTTCCGAGCTCTGCAGCCAATGTCCAAGAAACACTTGTCCAGAGTCAGCATGTCGCAGCCCTGTATGTAGTCCTGAGACCACAGAGGTGGCCAGGGAGGACTGGTGCCCTGGAGAAGTCAGTCTGACCTGAGGAGACTGACATATAAGCAGGTGCTTTCTGGTGCCGCATGGCGTGGTAGAAAGGCCACCTGGTCCTGTGGTGAAGATGACTCCCCTGCCTGCTGGGGCTGTGCAGGGTCCACGGGATGATGGATGTGAAGGACCCTGCACAGTCCTTGGTGGCCGCTGTTGTCAGCAGTGGTGCTTATTCCAGACCAACTGGCAGCTGCAGGGATAGCGGCGTGTGGCAGTGCAGCGGGGAGCCCTGGGAGGGACGGCTTGGGGATGGAATCGTGGCAGTGGCTAGGGAGGCTCTCGCACCCAAGACAGCACATCTGGGTGACCTGGGGGCTGCGGAGGTGCTGAGGATAGCGTGGCAGTGGCCCGGAGGACCAGAGGAGCACGGCCGGTTAGGGCTTGGCAGCGGGGAGTAACTGGTGACCTGAGAGGAAGGTACGTTTGTTGGCCTGCAGAGCCAGGTGGTGGAATGAGGAGTAAGTTGAAGGACGTGGCTGTTCTTGAGTGCAGTACAAGAAGGGAGAGGGAGATGCTGAGCTAAGGGCGCACTTTTAGGCTGGGAGACAGGGAGCAAATTTATGGGTAGAGAAGGACTAGGGAGGAGCAGTTCCAGGGCAGGAAACAGAATGGGGTCCGGGTGAAGGTTTGATTGACTCCAACAGGAGAGGCAGGACTGGGGGCAGGGGCCCAACCTGTCCTCTGCTTACACACGTGCGCACACCCACAGTCATCCCTAAGGCTGTGTTAGGCCTCTCTTCCGTGGTGCTTCGCTGAGCCTCTCAGGATGCCTTCAGCTCAGTGTTCGCCCCAGCAGAGAAATAAAAGCCGTGGGCTCTGGCCCACACACGGCCTCAGACCTCCTAGCCTGGCTGGCGGCTTCCTCAGGCGGGACCCACCAGGGTGGGAGCTTTTTTTGGCCTGGATCACCATCATCCTGTGCCAGCCCCGTGATGCTACTGTCCCACAGCAGGTCCTCATGCTGGGAGCGGGTTTGCAGGAGGGGGTTCCTAGTTACTTTGTCATCACTAGGACACAGTATCCAACACCCATAACATAAGGAGGAGAGCTTTATTTGGGTTTACAGTTCATTCTGTGGTCAGCTGGTTCCAAGGCAGAAATGGCCTGGTAGAAGGGTCTGGGTGGAGGAAAGCTGCTCACCTCATGGCAGCCCAGAAGCAGAGAGGGAGGAGCAGAGAGACACCATCCCCAGGGGCCCGCCTCTTCCTGCTGGGTTCCACCTTCCACCAGCACACTCAGCAGCTGCTCACCATGGATGACCCCACAATCCCCGTCAACAAGCTCATGAGGCCTCCAGACATTCTCGATCTGACAGTATTGGAGCAGGGGTGTTGCTGGCCAGCAAGCTCGGTCCCCACTGGGCGTGGCATACCTGTCCCTGCTGGGGTAGATGAGGGGACAGAGCAGTGAGCCCAGCCATGGACCTTCCTGGCCACTACCACAGTTGGCCAGAATGGAGGAAGTTCAGACTTGACCTCCCAGTTCTCGGGGAGGAGGGAGGCTCGGGTCATGTCCCAAGGGAGGAAGAGGCTGCTGGGACCTTGCAGATAAACCAGCTCAGGCCCTGCACACTTGTTCCTCTTCCTTACCTGGGGTCTTCTACCACAGCACACGGCCCCAGCCTTCCCTGCCGCCTCAGTTCCTCCTGTGTGGGCTGCTGAGTTGCGCAGCTGGCTGCCTACCTCTCCCCACAACATTGTTGAGGTGGCAGTTGTGACATGACTCAAAATACTCTCCTGTCATTGTTCCTTTCTCACCTTCCCTCTGTGGCCTGGGATTCCCACTCTGGGCCCCATGGGGCAGAAGCTCTGTGAGGGCCCTGCTCCTTTTGTTTGCCACCCAGCCAGCTATGAGGGACACGTGCTCCTTCAGGCCCCAGGGCAGCCGTGGGGCAGTGTGTGTTTTTTTTTCTGGTGCCTTTGCTCCCTGAGTTACGGGGTCCCTGGCCTCTCACAGGGTTGTCGTCCTCCACTGATCTCCTCCCTACCTGTGCAGGCAAAGTGCCTTTTCAGGAAGGCCTCCATCTGGAGCCACAGAGGCAGGCTTCTCAGTCTGCCCTGGCCTTTGGAGATTGAATCAGCCCTGAGGTGCTGTGTCCGCAGCCCTGGGGTCCCTCTGCAGCAAGGGCCTGGCCTTCATTGTGCCGACTGTAAGCATCAGAGGGCAGAGGCAAGATTCATGTAGCCATGGCTATAAGGAGGGGGTGACCTACCTATAACGTCGTATGGGCTAGGAGGGAAGCAGCCTGTGGCTTCTGAGAAGAACAGGCTGGAGGGAGGAAGGGACTTGATTGTGAAGGCCAGGTGCCACCGAAAAAAACAAGAGACTAAAAACTCGGGCTTTCCTAAGATCCCTCAGATGGCTCAGAGGCCTGCTTGGCCTGTTCGGGGTGGTGCTGAGAAGGCAGCACAGATAGTCATCTCCACCTGAGGGCCTATGGGGCCGGGGACCAGCCCCTCCTCTTGCCGTGTGTGTCTAATGCTGGCTTTGGGTTTCAGTGGGCCAGGTGAACTACCCGAAAGTGGCAGACAGCTCTTCCTTTGACGAGGACAGCAGCGATGCCTTATCCCCTGAGCAGCCTGCCAGCCATGAGTCCCAGGGCTCAGTGCCATCACCCCTGGAGGCCCGCATCAGCGAACCACTGCCGAGTGCCACTTCTGTGTCCCCCACTCAGGTCAGCTCGCCCACTCAATGGGACTCTCATGCTTGAGGGCCAGGTGGGTGGCTTTGCCTGGGCACGGGGACATCACCTTAGCAGCCCAAAGCCAGGAGCCCCGGAGAGATGGCAGACTGCTTCCTTGGACGAGGACAGCAGCGATGCCTTATCCCCTGAGCAGCCTGCCAGCCATGAGTCCCAGGGCTCAGTGCCATCACCCCTGGAGGCCCGCATCAGCGAACCACTGCCGAGTGCCACTTCTGTGTCCCCCACTCAGGTCAGCTTGCCCACTCAATGGGACTCTCATGCTTGAGGGCCAGGTGGGTGGCTTTGCCTGGGCACGGGGACATCACCTTAGCAGCCCAAAGCCAGGAGCCCCGGAGAGCAGATGCTGGGCCAGACTGCCTTGCAGCTGCATTCGCAGCCTCCCAAGCCACCCATTCTCCTTGCTCCATGCAGCTGCTGGGTTGAGTGCACCAAGTTCAGTGCTATGGCTGTTACCTATCTTGCTTTCCTAGTCCCCCTGTGCCCACCCCAGCCAGGTCTCTCGTCCACCTGGTTTCTGCTCATCACTTGGCCTCTGGCCATGACTGTGTCCGAGGAAGTAGATGCCACCCCAACTGGTCTGAGGGCAGGCTGGGCTCACTCATGTTGAGGTTGGCGGTGTCCTCACTTCCTCTCTCCTCCCAGGTTCTTTCACAGCGCCCACTGGTCCCAGATTCTGGAGAAACACTCTTCGTGGCAGAGCAGCCGCCTCTGCCTCCCCCGCCTCTGCTGCCTCCCAGCCTCACCAATGGAACCACCGTCCCTACTGCCAAGCCTGCCCCCACGCTCATCAAGGTACTTCTGTGCCCCTGGGAGTCCTGCTGAGGCTTCTGCAGGGGGAGGCTGCGCATCTCTCCCTGGGTCTCGGACCAGTGAAAGTCCCAAGAGCATCTGGGAGTGTGTGCCTGTTGCCACCACTGTCCATCGTAGCACTCGTGTCACCATCATAGCCACCACTGATTAGCGCTGTGTTAGCCCAGTTGTTGTTGCTTATAACAGCATCACAGACTGGGTAAGTTATAAAGAAAAGAGATTTTGGCTCTGTTTGAGTCCAAGGTCAGAGCCCTTTGGTGATGGCCTTGTTGCTGGCCCTGAGGCAGCACAGTATGACGGGAGAGGGAACACACGTGTGCGTCTGGGTCTGTCTCTGAACAGCTGCCAGCATCAGTCACGATGAGGATCTTCTCTAATCCGGATCACTCCAAGGTCCCCCTGTAAGCACAAGTTAGTTTCCATGGAGGGAGTTCAGCTCCATTCCGAGCTCCTCAGGGACAGACCATGCTTAAATTACAGCAGACACAGGGCACAGGTCCGGGCCTTGCCACCCAGGTTCTCACTCCCACCCTGTTCTCATTCTCCTTGCTCTGTGACTGCCAGGGTCATGCAGCTGGCCGTTGGTTTCTGTTCTCTCCTGGAAGGCCTGACCTGAAGTACCGTGGAGGGAGGGAGGGAGGGGTGTGTCGTCCGTGTGGAGGACACTGCTGGGTACATTGGTCTTGCATGCTGATGCTGGCCTCACAGCACCCAGGGCAGAGCTGCCTGCCTTTTAGGATCTTGGAGGCTGTGCCCTGGACCCCTGCTCCAGCTTGCTTCACCCTCACCATGCTGCGCACTGTTTTCCCCTCCAGCTCTTCCCACCGACCCTGTGAATGCCTTCCCATTCCCAGCTCACTCTGCTGCACCAAGTCCTCACTGGCCATGAGCTGTCTGCCTGCACAGGGTTGTGCTCTGGCACTGAGGAGCTGCCACCCCCTTCCCTATACACAGAAAGTTGCTGGCACTGTCTTTCCCCGGGCTCAAGTAGCTATGAGCATGAGCCTCCCCAGTTGCCCGACTCATACATGCAGTCTCTTCCTCGTGGCCTGCAGATGTCACAGCGTCCCCCACTGCTCCTCTGTGATCTTGTCCTGTATCACACTGTGTGGCTGTCCTTCACCGCTGCACGTCGCTGTCCTCTGCTCAGAAATGTCTAGGCCCACAGTCCTCTGGCTCTCCAATGCTGATGTCCTCCCATCCCGCTCCATACAACTTCTATCATGTGACCACCAGCTCTTCTTGGTCAGTCAGCATCCTCTGACCCTGTTCCCTAAGCTTCTGACAGCTGGGGAGCCTTTAGGGCATATTTGGGGTATGAACAGGAGCTTTTTAAGTCCCATGCCATATCAAGATTGGGTCACTTGTGTGACCTGGAGCAAGCAACCTCTGAGCCCATTTCCTCCCTTCCAGGTTAACTCAGCTGTTCTGCCTAGGGAGGATTCTAGGGAGGTCTGTGTGACACTGTCTGTGTGACCTGCCCTACTGGGCATGACCCTGCACCCAGACCAGCCTGCTGTTGTGGGTCACACACTGCTTGGGGTCACGGTGGCCTGAACCTCTGGTTGATTTTCCCTCCAAGCCAAGCACAGCACCACTGCAACCCGGGGACCCCGCTGGGCCTCTGCTCCTGTGGGACACCACCCGGCAGTTGGGATGTGGGCTGGTGGGGCACCTGTGCTGGGGCTACAGGGCACTGACTCCACTGCTGCTGTGCCCTCAGCAAAGCCAACCCAAGTCTGCTGGAGAGAAGGCACAGCGCAGCAAGAAAGCCAAGGAGCTGAAGCCCAAGGTGAAGAAACTCAAGTACCACCAGTATATCCCACCTGACCAGAAACAGGACAAGGGGGCACCTGCCATGGACTCGTCGTATGCCCGAATCCTGCAGCAGCAGCAGCTCTTCCTGCAGCTGCAGATCCTCAACCAGCAGCAGCAGCAGCACTACAACTACCAGACCATCCTGCCGGCCCCGCCCAAGTAGGAGCTGCAGGCGGGGCCGGGTGGCACCAGAGCTCCCTACAGGGCCCTGCTCTGGTACCCCTGCTGCCACTTACTCCTGCTTTTTCCCCTCCTCTCAGGCCTGCAGGTGAGGCTCTGGGAAGCAACGGGGCCCCCCCAGTACGTAGCCTCTCTGCCTCCAATGGCTGTACCAGCTCAAGTGCCCCAGGGCCCGGGGGCCTGGCCCGTCAGAACAGCACTCCTCTTTCTGGCAAGCCAGGAACCCTGCCAGCCAATCTGGACGACATGAAGGTAGGCGCCAGCCCTGCCCACTGGGATTGCGCCACTGTTGCCTGCCCTCTCACAGCACTGTCTGGCTGCTTTTAGACAAGTAAGGAAGACAGCCCGAATTGTGCAGGGTCAGCCCAGCAGGGCTCCAGGCTTTGGTCTGCAATGGTGGGGTCACCAGGGCACCTGCTCCAAGGCCTGTGCCTGTGGAGACATCTGGAGGCTGCAGCCTGCTCAGCAGTAGGCAGGGCTGCCCAGGACCACACACCCCTCCCCATGCCTGCTGAATCTGCTGTCCATACTGCAGCTTCCTGGCAAGGAGTGGCCCGTCCATGGGATGCACAAGGGGTTGTGTCCTGGGTCCTAGACCCGGGGAAGTGGGCCCTGCTCAGTGCATGGCCCATTTTCTCTCCCCAGTTGGAAATGGAGTAGACCAGGACCCTTTTTGTGACCCAGACCTCAGCCAGATGGTGCTCAGGAGGCGCTAGCATGGGCTTCACTCTTAGGGATCGTAGTGTTTTACCGTGAACTCACTGTTCCCATCTGTAGAATTAATACATCCAGTGAAGTAGTTGCTGAGTTCCGGGTACGGTCCTAGGGGCTGAGTCCCTATTGGGGTGAGGATGGTGAAAGGGAGGATGCCAGGTGGGCATTGGTAGGCAGGGACACCTGGCTCAGGTCCCTGGAAGGCTCTGCAGATGGGGCAGACAGGCCTGGCTTACAGGCTGCTAGTCCCGGTCCTCGGTGGCCTGTCCTGCTGCTGGGCCCAGCTCCGTGTCAGCCTTCTCTGCTGCACTCTCAACCCCTGTAGGTGGCGGAGCTGAAGCAGGAGCTGAAGTTGCGGTCCCTTCCGGTCTCTGGCACCAAGACCGAGCTGATCGAGCGCCTGCGTGCCTACCAGGACCAAGTTGGCCCTGTGCCTGGGGCATCCAAGGCTCCCACCACCCCCTCCCTGCTGTCCAAGGCAGGCGAGGTGGTGGTCGCCTTCCCAGCGGCCCGGCTGAGTACTGGGCCGGCCTTGGTGACCGCAGGCCTGGCCCCAGCTGAGGTGGTGGTGGCCACAGTGACCAGCAACGGTGTGGTTAAGTTTGGCAGCACTGGCTCCACGCCCCCGGTGTCTCCCACACCCTCGGAGCGCTCCTTGCTCAGCACAGGCGACGAGAACTCCACGCCAGGGGACGCCTTCGGCGAGACGGTGACGTCGCCGTTGACACAGCTCACGCTGCAGGCTTCGCCGCTGCAGGTGCTGGTAAAGGAGGAGGGTGCGGTGCGGGAGCCGGAGGGTCTGGACAAGGACCAGATGCTGCAGGAGAAGGACCGGCAGATTGAGGCGCTGACGCGCATGCTCCGGCAGAAGCAGCGGCTGGTGGAGCTGCTCCGGCTGCAGCTGGAGCGGGAGAAGCGTGCGCAACAGCCGGGCGCCCCGGTGAAGCAGGAAGGTGGGCTCCCCAGCTGCCCCCTCAGCCGCCAGCCCCCGGCCACTGTGCGCCCCTTCAGCCCCGGCCTGGCGACCCCCATCACCAGCCAGGGAGATGCTGGGGCTGTGGCTGTGAAGCAGGAAGCTGCGCCGCCTGAACCTGAGCCCGCACCAGGCTCGCAGCTGCTCCTAGGCCCGCAGGCCAGTGGCCTCCTCCAGGGCATCACACCACCCACCCTTGTCACCGACGCCACAGGGACTCACCTTGTCCTCACTGTGACCAACAAGAACACAGACGGCCCGGGCCTACTTGGCGGGAGCCCCCTGCAGGTAAGCGGGGTGCACGAGGGCATGTAGGGTTGATTTCATCCATCTTCCTGTTAAGGTACCGGAACTGCCCCAGGAGGTGTGGGGCACTGAGGCTGGCGAATGCGGGGACCGCCTTAGGGCCCCGGAGCCAGCAGGAGCCACAGCCTCTGGTTCCGCTGAAGCCAGAGCCTTTCTACACTTGGCAGTGGCCAGGAGCCCTGCACCACTGCTCCATGGGGTGAGCCTGGGTGAGAGCTGGGGAACAAGCTGTGGACCACTGTGTAGCTCGAGAGCCAACTCAAGGCGCTCCCCTCAGAGGCCAGCAGTCCCTGCTGCCACCACCTTCACAACCCAGATCTTCCACCCAAGCCAGAGGTGAGGCCGCTGGGTGTGGTCTGTTAGCCCTGCAGAGCTTGGGAGAGGACAAGAACCAGGTTCCTCAGGCAGGGAGAGGAGCGCTGCTGAGCAGCTTCTGGCAGGCGGACCCAGAACCTTCAGGGTGTGGATTCAGCCCAGAACCCCTCTCTCCCTCGTTTGTTTTGCTGGTCACCTTGTGCCTGCCCGGCCATGAGCCTCCTTCCCCAGTGGTTTCCATGGAAGCTACACCAAAGCCTGTGCACCTCCTGCTTCGCCCAGAGCGCACAGCCTGGCCCTGCTTCCCTAACCCCGTCTCCCTTTCTCCCATCCAGCCCTTGTCCCAGCCCAGCTCTCCAGCCTCTGGTCCACCTGCCCAGATGGACCTGGACCACCCACCACAGACCCCATTTGGGACCCCAGCTTCTCTGCTGAAGAAGGAGCTGCCTGGCTACAAGGAGGCTGTGACCCAGCAGCCCAAACATCAGGTGAGGGTGCTGGGCCTGGCTGGGTGGTGTCCCCAGGCCTAACTGGAGGGACAGGCCGGTGAGGGACAGTCAGGGGGCTTGAGTAGGGGTCTGGCTGCCCACTGGGCCCCCATGTTTAGATTTTCCTTTTTTTTTTTTTTTTTTTTTTTTTTTTTTTTTTTAGAAAATGGTTCTTCAAGCCAGCAGATGGATGATCTGTTTGATATTCTGATTCAGAGTGGAGGTAAAGCCCAGCTCCCCAGTACCTACCTGGGCCCTTCTGTCCTTGGGTTGTCTGGAGCCTGTGGTTGAGCGCTGAACTGCTCGGCAGGCCTGGTCTCAGGTGCTGAGCACAGCAATGGCTGGACAGGGCGACCTGGGAGGGCATGGCCCTGGCACAGTTGTTTTTACTGCCGCCAAGAGGGCATCTGCCTATGCAGAACACAAGTCTAGTGTGGCAGAGGCAGTAGATAGAATGAATGAGCCCCATCCATGAGATGTAGGGGAGGGCTTGGCAGGCTGGTGCCCAGCGTGGTGGGGAAGGGCGGGAGACGACAGCCCAGTCTGGAGATACAGCGATATCTGGAGATGCTGTGATACAGTGGCTGCATGTGAGTGGAAGTAGGCTGACTGGCAGAGGCCAGGCCACAGGGGTCTGGGAGAGACAAGGCCAAGCTTGACCACCTGCTCAGGTAGGGGTGAGGAAAGAGCAGCCACGGATGGGTCCAGGGCTATGGCCTGACGCTCTAGGATGAAGGTGACGGGGTAGTGGCAGTCTCAGCCGGAAGTGACACATGCCACAGTGGGAGAGACTCTCCATGGACAGTGGGAAGTACGGTGGGTGAGGTCGGTAGAGCAGGGGACTGGTGCAGGACAGGGGCGTGCTAAAGAGGCCCAGCACTGCGCAGAGGTAACCTAGAGGCAACCTAGAGGCCAGAGATGGTCACACAGGGAGCCTCGGCCCATACCCAGCCCATCTCTACCTGGGCAACCCCAGGCCAAGGGCTGTGCAGAGCTTTTCCTGCAGAGGATCCATCTGAGAGAGGACAAAGGCAGGGAGGGGTAAGGACCATGGAGTAGTGGAGCATCCTGGTGTGCGGTGTGGGTGTGGCAGGGTCTCTGCAGCTAGCATGTGGTTTGAGCTGCTGTCAGGCCTGAGTGCAGGGGGCAGGTGAAGCAAGCACTTGCCAGGTCACGGAGCAGTGCTTCAGCATGGGGCTTTTAGACTGTTTCAAATGAGGCATCCAGAGCTTCCGGTGCTGGGGTCAGCACTTCTCAAACCTTAGGGAGCATTTCAGCTGCCATGGTGCCTGAGTGTTTAAGGCATGGCTGACCCTGAGGCTGGGGGGTGGGATGCTCTGAGGTCAGCTGGAATGGACACTCAGGCCTCAGGAGCAAGAGGCCATTCTTGAGCTCTTGCACTTAAGGGATGGCAGAGAGCAGGAGATGAGGGTGTTGCCTGTCCCCAAAGGGCTAGGAAGGTCCAAGGATTCCAGGAGGTATCTGAAGGGGACGGGTGGTGGTAGCAGGTCAGGTACAGGTACGGGGACGGGAGCAGGGGCAGGAGCCAAGAGCAAGTCTGTTCTGTGTGGTTCTTCTGTCATGGTAGTGTGTGGAGCAAAATGTGCCGTCCTGGCCATTTCCAGATGCAGTTTGGTGGCATCAGATACGTCCATAATGTTGTGCAACCATTGCCACTACCTGTTTCTCAGCTCAAACTAAAGCCACGCCTGTAAGAACTTGCCGGGTCCCTTCCCCAGCCCTTACACCCTGGTCCTCCTGTGTCTTGAGTGACTGAGTGCCAGTTGTTAGGGCACAGTCTTTCTTCACGCCTAGATTATTTCACTGAGGGTGATGTCCCATCTCCAGTGGGCACTTGAGTTGCTCTTCTAGCTGTTGAGCACAGTGCTGCTGTCACAAGTGCACAGATATCTTGTGGAGACCTTGCTTTCACTTCTTTCCAGAACTTACCCAGAAACAAGATTGCTGGATCACACTGTTGTTGACTCCCCCACACCCCCAACCCCACTGGGGATCAAACCCAGGACCTTGCACTTGTGAGGCAGGCGAGTCACTGAGCTAAATCCCTGGTCCTGTTGTGTTTTGGAACTTACCGCCTGTTCTAGTTAATGGCAGTATATACCAGGGTTCCAGTTTCATGCCATTACCATCATGCTCCCTGGTGCTGGGGGTTGAACCCAGGCCCTTGTGCATGTAGGTTCTCCCACTGACCCTCAGTCCCTTACAGGTTTCCCAGGCTGAGTTCAGGCTTGCTTCCCAGTGCCTTGAGTGCCCCAGGCTTGGCTGTCTGCACTTATCACCTTGGTTTTGATTTGTGTTCCTTTGACTAGAAATGTTGAACATCTTTTCGTGTGCTGTTGGCCATTTTTCTCTTTTGGAGAAAATTTCAAGGCCTTTGTTCATCCTTGAATCAGGTTTATTGTTACTGTTTATTTTCAATATATTAACTCCTCATTAAATATATTATTTGCACATGCCTCTTCCCATTTTATGAAAAACATTTTCATTCTTGGCAGTCTATTTCTTTTTGGTGTTATAGCTCCAAAACGACTGGACATTTAACATGAAGATTTCCTTCCTTCTATTTTCTAAAAGTCTCAGTTCTAGTGCTTATCTCTGTCTGATGTATTTTTCTTCTCGTTATAGTAAAAGTGCTGCCAAAGTGAGCACGTTGCTTTATTTTACACTTGCTCCTAGCCAAAAGGCCAAGAAGCAATCGCTATGTTTTTCTTTGCAGTGTGAGGGAAGGGTCTGCTGTCATCCTTTGTGTATGTTCTGGCCTGGATTCTGACACTCATTCACTCTGTCACTTGGCAGAAATTTCAGCAGATTTCAAGGAGCCACCATCTCTACTAGGGAAGGAAAAGTCGCCTTCGGCAGCCTGCGGGTCCCCGCTGGCAGTACAGCCATTGCCGGCTGTTGAGTTCCCCCAGGCTGCACCGCCTCCCCCAGGCTTGCCTGCACTCCCAGGGCGTCTGGAGGACTTCCTGGAGAGCAGCACGGGGCTGCCCCTGCTGACTGGTGGACACGAGGGGCCAGAGCCCCTGTCCCTCATCGATGATCTCCACAGCCAGATGCTGAGCAGCTCTGCCATCCTGGACCACCCCCCGTCACCCATGGACACCTCAGAACTGCACTTTGCCCCTGAACCTAGCAGTGGCGTGGGCCTGGACCTGGCCGACGGCCACCTGGACGGCATGGACTGGCTGGAGCTCTCGTCAGGTGGTCCTGTGCTCAGCCTGGCGCCCCTCAGCACCGCCACACCCAGCCTCTTCTCCACAGACTTCCTCGATGGCCACGATCTGCAGCTGCACTGGGACTCCTGCTTGTAGCTCTCCGCCCCAGAGACGGGGGCCAGAAAGGGGCTGAAAGTTACAGGACTGGAGCCAACAAGGCTCGGTGTGGCTGTGAGTCTCGACAATCACAGTCCCTGAGTGGCTGGCGTGGAGGGGCCACTGCTGGCTCTGGCTCACCCAGGGCAGAGGAGGAGCTGCCAAGCAGCAGCTCTGGGTCTCTGCTGGGGCTTTGGAGGCCTAGCCAGGGCCGTTTCAATTCGACCTCCTTTTCTGAGGTCAGAGGTGCAGCATCGGACAGCAACTCCCCCTTTGTGAGGAAGAAAGGCTCCCGGGCCTCTCCTCCCCATCAGCCGCACCAGGGTTCCACAGCTTCCTGCCATGTTAGTGTCTTGCTGTAGTGTGACCGTTTAGAGGTTGGTGGTAAAACTTCTCTGTACAGGTGTATATACCTCTATATTATATATCATCATACAATATATACGTATATTTGTAGGGGTGCAGGAGATGAGTGCAGTTGCCTCGCCCTGCTTTCACATGCAGAAGGGCCTGGAGTGCTGGAGACCGGAGGCAGGGTCACCCCGAGTGATGTGCCACGTGGCTTGGCCCACCCCTCACGTGTGCTGACACGCAGACACCCTGTCACAGCCCCGTGCCCACCTTCCCGCTGCCTGGCTCCTTAGTGCCACGAGGGCAGAGGGGCTTCCTTGCCCACCCCCTGCCTCACTGCAGCCAACTCAGCCCTGGGACAGGAGGGGCTGCCGCCACTGGCCTCAATATGCTGGACTGTTTCATGGGGGTAAAGGGGTGAAGTCACCAAAACCAGTGGCTGGGACAAAGGTGGGAACTGTGTGAACTTTTTAAAATAAAAACAAAAACACCAACTGTCAGTCCATCGTATTCTGTCTGTGGAGTGGTGGTGGGGGCACTAAATTCTGTCTTCCCACAGGGCTGACTCAGGCTTCAGGAGCCAGGCTCGTCCAGAAAGGCAGCCACTGCCCTAGCTGAACAGAGGTCGGAGGCGCTTTCTCAAAGACAGTTTATTTACACCCCAAAGAGGCACAGGGCCCGCTGTCGGCCCTTAACACCCGCTTCCTGAGCAAAGACTGACCAAGGCGGCTTCCCATCCTCACCAGCATGTTGGTTCCTACAAACTGCAGTGGGCAGCTGGCACTTGCTTACGGACCCGGAGAGGACAGAGCCCTCACCCTGACCCCACTCTTGGGAGGGGGTGCCTGCCCCGGGCACCTACCTTCTGCCCCAGCCTACAGTGGGAGCCTGGAGTGGGAAGACCTGACCCAGCTCCCTCCCCGTGCCCCACAGCTTGGTGCCAGGCACCTCACTCTTCCTGCTGAGGGTGGGGCCGCCTGGGGAGCCAGAGGGCTCCCTGAGGCCTGGGTGCAGCGGGCCACAGGAGCGTCACCCATCAATGTCCCAGCTGAAGAGGTGGTGCTTCACCAGCATGTCCTGAACACCCTCCTTCAGGGGCTGCTTCTCCTCCTGCACACAGGACAGCTGCTCAGGAGGACTGGGCCAGGCAGTGCCTCCTGGGGCCACCCTGCCCTCCTGGGACAGCCACACACCCACCTCTCTCTTGGCAGGGAGCTCCCAGTCCTGGGAGAGACTGAAGGCGAAGCAGCACAGGACACTGTGGGGAGGGAGGCACTTATCAGGGACTGCCCACCTCTGCCACTGCCTGCCAGCCAGGGCCCTGCCTGGTCCTCACCGGAGCTCGCACTTGATCTGGACCCAGCCAGGGCTGCGCAGGAAGGACCAGGGCTGGTACCACTTCTCCACGGTGGCCAGGCTGGAGCAGAGGACCTCCAGCCACAGGTGCAGCACCTGCTCACTGGGGACAAGGCTGGGAGGAGGGCTGCTCGGGGTCTGGCCCGCATGGCCCTCCACAGTCTCCGCAGCAGCTCCTGAGCACCCTCAGTGGAGAAGGCCAGGAGTCGGGCGGGACCGGTCCCGCTCAGAACACCTTCCCTACACTTACTTGAGCCCGACGCAGATCAGCGAGCGGAGCTTGACGTCCATTTGCGCGTGGACTGCATCGTGAGTCACGTTCACAGACTGCACAGCCTGGGGAGGGTACGACTGTCACTTGGGTGCCCCACTGGCCAGAAGGTGTCAAGAGGCTGCCAGAGTAGCCCTGCTCACCCGGTACAGCAGCTCCTCTGGGGTCAGGACTTTGCCATCTTCATCGAGCCTGAGGGAACCAAAGCTCAGTATCGCCCACCTGCCAGGCCCTGCTCCCTCTGAAGTCCCACCAGGACAGTGTGAACGGGCAGGCCGGGTTGTTACCTGTAGGTCTTACAGAGCACGAGGCGGGAATACACCGAGTCAAAGTCTCTCTCCACTTCGCGGCCCGCAGCCTATGGCGGACAGGAGAGCCAGTGTGGGATGGGGTGGCCAGTCCAAACCCCGGTCCTGCAGAGCACACGCAGCACCTTGCAAGCTCCTCCACCCTGTGAGGGCGGCCTGAGGGCACCGCAGCGTGTGCTGCAGCTCACCTCCTCGATAAACAGCCAGGGATGGCAGGCACCTCCAAGCAGGGATGGCTTCTTCAGTCCATGTTCAAACAGGGCCTTGAGGGCTGGGCACAGGGTCCCCCGCACGAGGTCTGTGACCCCTTCTGTCACAGAGTCATCCCCCGCAATGGAGTACTGGTGGAAGATGGGGCCTGAGGAGGACGGCCCAGGCAGGCAGCACCCAGGAACAGCCCCGTCCTGCCCACCTCTTACCTCTTTGCTTCGTTCATCCAGGACTTCCACAAACTTGGCTGGAAACCAGCCTATGGAGGAACAGGCCGTGAGGGGCCCTAGTAGCCATCCGACCCCTGAACTCAGGGGTCACACAGAACCTGGAGGCCGCGCTCACCCAGGAGGGAAGCCCACTCCCGCTCCGCCAGGCTGAAGAAGGGCGTGCTCACCTCGCAGGCCGTTCAGCTCACCCACCCAGCAGTGCTCATCCTTCTGAGACACGATCTGCACAGGAGGAGCAGCAGGACAGGGCTCAGGCTCATGAGGCCCACAGCACTGGGCCAGCTGTGACCCCACGTTTCAGAAGCAGAGCCCTCGGCGGGAAAGGGGCAGGGGCTGCGGCAGTGTGCATGCACGTGGAGCCCCCACGCACCGTGATGATGTCATTCTTGCGGAAGCCCAGTTCATCGTCATCGTGTCGCTCGAAGTCCAGCAGGGCCTTGGCCCGGCGTCGGTGGCTGCGTGAACAGGCCACATAGTTCTCGTGGTCCCGCTGGTGGCTCTCCATGCTGTAGTCTGGAGTCAGCTCCTGCGCGGACAGGGTGATGTGGACAGGCCAGGTGTGGTGGCTTTGGGAGGAGAGTCCCAAATTTGAACCCTGCCTGGGCAACCTAGCAAGGCCCTGTCTCAAAATAAAAGTAGCTGTGGACAGTGAGGACCACTGTGGGGGAGAAGTCTCAGCCCCAGGAATGGACTGGAGAAGAGCCCCCAAGTCAGGTCAGGGGAGCCCCCACTCACCACACTACAGTTTTTGGGGTCTGTGCACTGGAAATGATGTGCCACACGCAGGATGGCTTCTCGGAGGTCGGCCACCAGTTCCGTCTGCTTGATGTTCTTGGACTTGAGGGCCTCCAGGTCATCCTCCCCTAGAGGGCAGAGAGAGTCGCCTACCCCAGCCTGCCCTGCCCCGGGGAACAGGTGCAAAGCCACACCAGCTGTGAGGGTAGATGTTCCGGCTCTCACCAAAGAGCAGAGAGGAGATGGTGGATTTCCTCCGCTGTGTCCTGCGACGAACCACCTGCATCAGGGACAGCAGCTCAGTGGGGGACCTGCCCGCATGTCCTCAGCATCCTGTCAGCTCAGGGTTTAGCCCATGCTCCTGCCACAGGGCACCCAGATGTGCCCTGCTGAGGGGCTGCTCACCTCACCACTGCCAACGGGCCCTGGCTGTGTCGGGGAGGCGGAGGTGGCAGAACAGGGAAGTGCCCAGCATCCCCACGCCCTCCCTCGCCTCGGGGGCCCATGGGGACCTCATGCTGTGGGCTGAGACAGGACTTCCTTGCTTGGAGCACCTGGGAAAGGTTGGTGGCAGCACTGGTCCCCAGAAGCTGGCCCTGGTCTGCAATGAGGTAAGCCAGGTGCTTGCGGCGCTGGGTCTCCACAGCCACGTCCGTGAGGGAGCCGGCCAGCTGCATGGCCTCCCCCAGAAGCAGCTCCACATCCTCCATCTGTGATGGGATATCTGACAGTGTGTTGAAGATGGACGCTGAGTTCTCCGACTGGATCAGCTCTTCCTCCTGGCGATGGGAGGGTGGGGGGCTCATAACCAGCATTGTCCTCAGAGACCAGTGCCCTCTGGCCTGGCCACTGGGGAGATGCCCACCCCCACACGCAGTCCACTCAGCAGGGACCCCGGTAGCACCTTGAGGCGCAGCATGCCCAGGGTGGTCTGGAACAGCACCAGGGAGCCCTCATAGAAGAACAGGTCCCAGATGCGCAGCAGCAGTTTGATGTGCACGACGCTGGCAAAGGCCGTGAGGAACCAATGCAGTGTGATCAGGGACAGCTCTGTGGACAGGCACGGGAGTCACTGGGACTGGGACCAAGACAGCTGGCCAGAGGTGATGTAGGCAGGGAGAACACCTCCCCAAGAGCAGCAAGAGAGGAGAAAGAGCAGGAAAGTGTAGAAAGAGGTCAGGGAATCCAGGGAACATGAGCAACACAGACTATGCGTGTCCATCCTCTACAGGACGCGTCCTGAGGCCTCGGAGGTGCACAATCAGCAGTGTCCCAGGACCCTGGGCCCAGAGGAGGCTGTCTCCGGGCTCACCAATGTCATGCTCCTGCAGCAGTTTGTCCAAGCGAGGCAAGTACTGCACGATGAGGTGGCGCAGGACCCGCTGGTCAGTCTGGACTCCCAGAAGGGTGGTGCTGAAGTAGGAGGCAGGAAGCAGGTCTTCAATGATGGCGCACATCATCCAGAAGGCATCTTCCTCCTCCAGGAACAGCAGGAGGCAGGCAGCTACCTGGCCAGGCAGGAGGACAAGGGGCTTCTACCCAAGTCTTGGTGAGTAGAGCAGGTGCCCCTGTGGGGCAACCAATCAGGAAGAGCCTCTTGGGGATACCAGAAGGCTCTTGGGCTCCACCTGATAGCAGAAGCAGCTGCTCAGCCACTAGGGTTCTCGAGGTCAGCCCCACCTCCCATTCTACACCACAAGGAAAAATCACACCCCACTATGGGCCTGGAGAAGACCCTGAGTATGCTCCCAGCCCTTCCCGGGGGTTCTCACCATGCCTGTGCCCTGGCAGTAGCCAATCTCCGGGTAGAGCCAGGCCAGCGCCCGGAGGACCCTGCGCAGTCGGGGCACCCCGATGCTGTTCACATTGGCAAAGCAGGCATTGCTGGGCATGGTGCGGAGCAGGTCCTTCTCAATCTGTTGGGGGGCCACACCACCCCACAAGGCCTTGTGAGACTGATGCCCAGGGAGGGAGCCAAGCCCCAGACGGGTTCCTGGCACTCCAAATAAAGGTTCCCCCACCTCGGTATTCCATCAGTCACTGGGAACCTCATGCTGGGCCTACTGAAAGACGGGTGTGGCGGCTGGATGTGTATTCAGATCCCTGCTGTTCCCAATGAGGACCCATCTGCCCCAAATTTCTCCACACACTGGGCCCTCTGGATAGTTACGCTTGCAGCCAAAGAAGGACCCAGGGGAGCAAGTTTCCTCTGTAGTCATGCATGGGTATGAGGGATGCCAGGCCTGCCAAGGAGACCAACCAGGGGACACCTTCCTCCTGCAGACCACACATGGTCTCTCCCAACCAGCCCCTCAACTGCCCTGTGTCACCTGCTTGGCAGCGATGGTCTCATCGTTGGAGCTGTTCTTCACGA